CCCCTCGGCTTTTGAAAAATACCTACAGATCTCTTCAAAGTTTTTTAGGCCCTCTTCATAATTTTCAAACATTGTCCAAATCTATTAAGTAGAAATTACAAGTGGATGTTTTAAATGGTTAAAAATTAAATTAAATTAAATATCTTAAATTTAAATTTTAGAATGAGTGAAATGAAATTAAGAGAAAAAGAGGGACTATATCATTTTCTTATTTTCTCCTCTTAGTCATTTTACAGTTAGATGGATCACATCATTGCCACATCATTGCCAGCTAGGAAGTAAAAAGGATTATCCTATTAGTTACCATAAAGAAACAGAATTATCCTAATAATTTTTGGAAAAATTTTTTTCTTGAACTTCTACTAGATTGTCTAACAATTTATGGATGAGGAAATAAAGATATGTTCGTATAAATTTAACCCCACAATACAACATGATTTACCAATAAGGTAAAGATGGATCTCACTGCTAATTGGAAAAACCTCCAAATTTGTCTCTTAAATAGGAGTGTAGAGACAAATTTGCCTCTCAAAAATAGAAAGATAAATTATCCCTATAAATTATTGATCAAGATAAATTATTCATTATTTAACATATGACATTATCATACATAAAAAATTCATTTGCCACCTAAATATTTTTTTTAACGAAAAGCTAATTAACATGTAATGACATCACATATTAAATATTAAGTGATTTATCTTAATTGATAATTTGAAAAAGCAATCTATCCTTATATTTTTTAAAGGATGAATTTGTTTTTACCCTCTTATTTGAGGGGCGAATATGGAGGTTTCGCCTTGCAAATTTGGAGTGATGGATGGGCCGGGTTTGAAGAGAATGAGATTCAATGTGTAGAGGTGGATTGGGCTAGATAGGATTACATTAAGTCTAATATCATGTTTGGTTAATTATTGGACAAAGTTGGATTAGATATAAATTTTTAAATGTATAGACAAAAATACCCCTACGTTACAGTTAATTAACCTACTTACATTTGTAAATAACTATCTTACTCTAATTATAATAAACGTCAACTTTCAAAGAAAATGCTAAAAAAAGAAGAAGTACGAGTTTCATAATTAAGAAGGTTGAAACACTACAAGAAAACCTAATTTCACCGACCACATATGACCAAGGTAAGAATTTTTCTCGGTGAAGCATCATTTTACCGACAAGGATTAAGTCTGAAACTTGAGAAACAGTAGAAATACCAATAAGATATATTATTTATTGTATAGACGTAATACTTGTCGGTAATTTAAGATCATACATACGTGTTACTTATCGGTAACTGCAACCAACACTTCGGCGAGTAGGGGAAGGACGGAAAGCCAAATCATCAACGAGAAGCACGCCTATAAATTTATTTTTAGAATGATAGTCTCGTCGGTAATTGAGGATCAATTTCCAACGTACATCTTGTCGGTAATTTCACTCCCAATGCACCCCCACCAATCAGCTAGCTGCCTGTGTCAGAGAGTGCAGCTTTTTGATGCAATTTTTCGACATTATGCTTGTCGGTAATTTACCATTCCCCAACTCCCCGTGAATCCGGCTGCTGGCCACTGGTGTTGCAGCTTTTATTTGGCTCATCGACAAGGTTTAGGTCGGTAATTCATACATTGCCAACTTCATCTTTGTCAGTGATTGGCCCGATCAACGAGAATTCTGATGCAATGTAGAGATGATCAGCTTTAGAATGTAGCGATGTGGGTCTCATCGGTAAGTTTCCCTATTACCTTGCCGAACCGCCCTTCTGCTTTCATTTTGGTCTTTCTCCTTTCATTTTCATTTTCCTCTTCTCCCGCGAGTTGTTCTTACTCTCCTTTCCTCCATTCTTCCCTTTGAAGCACTTTAACACATTTTTCTTCTTGCAGTCTAGTGGATCAAGCAGTGGTAAGTAAAATTTAAGTAATATTATTATTTTTTATATATGTTATGTATATTTTATTTTTTTCTGAAATTTAAACCATTAAATATTGTTATTAATTATTTCATTAGATATTAGTTAATATTATTAGATTTTCTTTTAGATAAATTTGATGAATAGTTATGAATAATGTTTTTATAAATTTTTAGTGAAATTTCAACCATTAATGACAAAATTTTTATATT